TTACGGAACTTTATCAATTTTACTAATTAACAACTTTTGATTCCCCCGCCCCTCTACCCCACCTTTTTATGTGAAACAGGGTCAAGTTATGAAAGGCTACCCTTCTAAGCTTCTTTTTACCACTCTTCAGTGCTTCTTGACCACAATTCAATCTTTTGCTATTGCCATTGCATTGGAAAGAAACCCTTCTGAGTGGAGATTGGGATGGAATATCAGACTCCTTGCAGTCTCTTACTGTGTAAATTTCTCTCTGTCTTCAATAATCCATTTTTTTGCAGCCAAAGTAACACTAAAAAAACTGCACAAAATCAAATGTTAATGAATTATTTATACAAGTGCAAAATGTGACAGGGAATTATGGTGACTGGAGTTGCATTCTACTTACAAGCGTGGGTTATTGAGAGGAAAGGGCCAGTGTTCTTGTCCATGGCAACTCCATTGAATTTTATCTTTACAACATTCTGTTCAGCTGTTCTGTTATGTGAGGTCATCAGATTAGGAAGGTGGGTTTGCCTGAACAAAATTTTCTCCTTTATACATTTAACAGTAATGATTTGCGGGACGATTTTGGAGGAAGACAAGTGAAAGCAGGGTCAAATTGATAATTACTATTGGGACTGCTTCACTTGTCGTCCCACAAATTCGTCCCGCAGATCATTACTCTACATTTAATTTTGCAATCTTACATTAGCTTCTTTTTTTTTTTTTTCCTTCTTTTTTTGGTTGTGTTTGTAGCATTTTAGGTGGGGTGTTGTTGATTGGGGGACTTTATAGTGTTTTATGGGGGAAGACCAAAGAACAGAAAATGGAAGAAGGGAATTGTTTACCAGCTGCTGATGGGTGAGAACTGAGGAAGCATGCTCAGAAATGGAAGTAATGCCAACCTGAACTGGAGGGGCAGGAAAATTAAATTTCTTAACTTGTTTTATTACAAATGTATTTTCTCCTCTCTATCAATTTGAAATATCAATTTGAAAAGGGAAATGAGAATGGGATGAGGTTTGTGTTGTGGAATGTAGGTACTAGTAGAGGTGGGCATTCGAGTAGGTAACCGAATGGTCACTCGAAAATTGAATCAAAAAAATAAATTTAGTTTGATTTCATTGGTTTTTAAGTTTTATTATTTTGGTTCAGTATTAATCAAATAAATTTTGGTTTGGTTTTGATTGAATTTTTCATTAATTAAAAATCAAAATTTAAATAAATATAACAAAATATAATAAAATATTACATGAAGTATAATCTATTATTGGGGAAAAAAATGATTAATGCCTATTTGATAAAAATCAAAACCGAATTAAATGAACCGATTTTATTTGTAACCAAACTAATTATTTTGTAAAAAAATTGATTCGGTTTCGGTTCTCAAATAAAAAAAAATAGTTAATTCAAAACCAATTTCAATTTAAACCAAAACTGCTTTTTGCCCACCCCTAGGCACTAGACCACTAGGTTCGTGATGAGGCTTGTAATAGTGGATTAAAGGTACCAATGTAGGCTTGTTTATTTTTTTATGTCAAATTCTTGATGCAAGACTTAAATTCTTAATACTGATCATATATGCTTTTCTGATGTAATTATTTATAATAAATTTATTTTAGATTTCTTTTGGGGTTCATTGCTTTAGTGTTACATTA